AATAGACTTTAGATGCATATCAAGTTTTCATGTCATGCTAGACATATAAGATATCGAAAACTGATTGCACATACCATTGACTTTATACTTTCAAGTGTTTGAACTGCAAGTCCAAAACTACATGTCTTTCATATGAAACCAATTCTACTTGAATTGTTTTCCCAGACTTAAGATCCTCATATATATGTAGCGCTATCATATATGTCGTCGACGAACATTTTATATCGGTTCCAACCTCCTTATTTTTCATAAAGACATAACATAGAGATCTCTTCATTCATATTTTCAGGTACCTGAATCTCTCTTGAGATTTTATGAAGTGTTATGTCATGTGATCTTCTAGATCACTTGCCTCCTTTATTTTGATCATTTGCTCATCTTCTTTATCAAGAAGTTTATTTGAAACCGATTTGTCTATATGTTTTAAGAGTACTATAGACTCTGTCCTTCTAGGACTTATTCTAATAGGAGCATTTGCAGTGAGAATATAGTTACTTTCTTTGGGTCAACAAATGCATCTGACATGTTTTGTAATAAATTGCACATGAATTATCCTTTTTATGAACTTCAAATTCATATTATTTTATTCGAGGATCTAGATGTATAAATGATAATTCATTCCATGTAACTTTTTCTCAACTATTTATCTTGTCTCCCCCTCATGTTAGAAAAACTAACTTGCTTCCTCAATTTTGAAATCCATCTTTGTGCGTTATGGTTTTAATCAAAATATACACCGCATATCAATAATAATAAGATGGAATTATTTGGTTCCTGACCATGAACCACTTGTGAGGGGAGAAAATAATATACTTTCGTATATAACGTATATCAAACTGATATACAAAACTTTATTCTCATAAGCAATAGTTTAGCTATTAAGTGGAGGTACTCAATAAATCATTTTGCTAAACCAGCTGTGATGTAGACCAACTTATCAAGATGAACTTCTTGAATAGAAAATCTAGAATATGCTCTAAACTAAATTATTGAGCAAGTTACCTCGCAAATACCATGTTGCGGGTTAATAATAATCGCACATGCAACCATCTCATAGATGCATCTTATGTGGTATACATGGCAGGTGAATGGGCCCATATTCACCTTTGATATTTCCAGCATTCATGGGATTCAATCCCAATTTTAATTGGTCAATTAATTAATGAGAACAAGCATTATAAGAGAATTCGTAAAGAACTTGCTGGTTCTTTAATATTTACCCATGTGAATTCTCTTTTATTTTTTCACATCATACTTAAATTGATATGGGTAAACCAATTATGCCAACTGAATAAATTATCAATACTGATAAACTTCAGATTTACGCCATGACGTGTGCAATTATCAATAAACTCCAAGTCTATTATGATATGGGTTTTTATATCAATAAATATCTTGTGGTATTCTTTTATTTGTGTAGTACAAACTGGAGAATAAAGCGGGTAGCTTTTCGCATACATATTACCCAGCTACAAGTTGTAGCAATAGAAGATATTAAATCTTTCCTTTATTTATAGTTTCAATATAATCAACCGCTTTCGCGTATACTTTGGAAACTGAATAAGTTTCTTTGAGACTTACTACAACACAATACCTTATTGGTAATCAATTGTGTTTCTCCAAAATAGTATAATTGGCTCTTGCAGAGTTCTCAATTAATTTTGTAGTACCACATATTCATCAATATCCATATGGTGAATATCTCTTTTAAGGAGAAAGTTATACCATTATGGTTATGGTCAAAATTATATGCAAGATCTGTTTCTTGCATTACTGTTATTCTTTAATAATCACATTATCAAAATATTTTGGCGTACAATAGGTACGTGACCAATGACCATTCATGCCATAATAATGACATTGTTTTCTTATATCATCTCAAACCTCCTTTTAGAGGTGAGTGTGGTATATTCACTACCACTAGCACATTCATATTCTTCCAAGAATGAATATCTATTCATAAATCAGATGTTTTCACATTCAAATCATGGATGGACTATAATCATCTATATGTGCTTTATAAAATATCATGTCAAATCGATGACAAATATTACTTTCACAGAGTGAAAGATTATTTTGAGAATCCTTATTATTCTCATTATCACAATGATGACGATTATAATTTCGTCTATTGCCACGTCCACATCCATTGATACCTTCACGGTAATAATTTTGTCTTCTTTCAGACTTATCACATATTGCTATCACATTCTCTTGAAGGAATGAGAACGGAGCAAATTCAATGGGACGGGTTTTCACTTCTTGTGCTCACGATCATACATGACTTTGAACATGGCAAGACATAGAAATTTTACCACTTTGGGTGGTTATAATTTCTTACAAACTCCATTAGAGTTGTAATCATAATTTATTGTCTTTGCTTGTATTTAAAATCAAATTATAGAATAAAAAAGAAACATACGGTGAAATACTTACCTTAAATCCAGAATTTAATCATGAAGGAAGTTCATGGAATAATTGACAATCATTATGCTCAATCCCAAAGCTTCTACTCAATTGGTTAGAGTGTCGTGCTGATAACGTGTTATAAAACAATAAAAGAAGAAGAATAGTATTACAGAGAAAAGTAGGGAGAGAGAATTCTTACTGATTTTGAGATGAATTACAATGGAATGGAACCCTCTATTTATAGGGAGAGGGTGACTTAGCCACCAAGTAATAAACTCTAGAATCTCTCTAAATATAGATATTCACCACAAATAAAATTCTATTTATAACATAATTATATTTCTCTTCCCTTATTTAAAACTCATAATGATGTATAGGGGAAGAATTCTAATAATTGAGTAATTGCATTCAAATAAGGTGGAAAAATCAAAAAATCAAGGAAAAATATAAATATAGATGCTGGCATTTGAGGCATGCCACATCAGCTTTCTCATTCCCAGAATTATTTATATATATAAATTTGTTCTCTTGTATGCACGTTACTGTTAAAAGGTAACCCAAGATAATAACGATTGATTGAGTTATAAATACTTTATACAATTTAAATAAGGAAACATTAGTACACAAAATTTAGTTGATTTTAGAATCCTAAATATTAGGAAAATAATTAAATGATTATTCCTTTAATATGAGCAAAATAATTAAAATGACTATTTTGTCTTATATGGAATCTATTTTTCGAGGGTAAAAAAGGCGAACAATATTTCGCTAAGGGCCTTCGTGCTTTTAATATAGTACTAGTCTTATAGTACGCGCATTGTGCGTGTATCTGGTATTAATGAATATAAATTTTATAAAAACTATGTAGATAATTAATTTTTATTAAATAAAAATTAAAGAAAAAAACTGATTTCCTACTATAATAATGACATTAATCCTTATTTCTCAAATTGAAAAAAGGAAGATCTCTATTCTACGAAAGTCCTCATATATTTTATCATTTGGACTTTCTTTATGAATAGATTTAGGTTCTTATCATTATCATAATAAAGAGATTATATATGCTGATATAAATGTTCTTACTTTCTTTAGCTCAATAGTGATAGGTAATATCAGTCAGCCACATATTCCGACTTTAATATTTGCTTGTTACATGCAATAGTTATATGCTAAATGTATTTATCAATAATATAACAAACTACGAAAATTCTATTAACATTTTCTTAAAAAAGAATCGCTTGAGTCGGCAATAGATATTAGCAATATGAACATAATCATGAGCTCTTGAGTATGATTTTTATACAATTTGCTTTAAGTTTTTGCCTCTTTCTTCTTCAATTGACTTGCTTTGCTATCTCAAAGTGAAAAATTTCTAATGTCACCTGGATTATTATTGTTCCGAAAGAAATAATTTTTAAAATTATAAATTCTTTGGAAAATAATTTTACTCGACTTACATAACTTATTTTGGTAGGATATATTCCTAAATATTAGGAGTTTATATATAGTTCAAATAAGAAAAGATATAATAGTCAAAACTTTAGTTAGTTTTACTGTTCTAAATATCGGAAAATAGTAATCAAATGATAACTTTATCCGATATAATATTTATTTTTAAATGATAAGCAGGTCGATCAATTTTGTTTTGAAGTTTCGTGCTTTTATAATAATATAGCTTGAATAAAGAAAACAATCTTTTTTTTAAAAAGTAGAATTTGCCTATATATTTAGTAGTTTTTAGTATTGGTTTCACATGGATTTACCACATTATCAGAGTATTAATATGATTTATTGAAATTATTAAGTGTAAGTAAAATTGTTCTTCAAAAAAGTTATTCATAAATGTTTAAAAAATTGCTATATAGAACTATTGCAAAAAGACGTATTCAATTTTTGTGCTAACGTCTCAAATAGTTGACTTTTTAAATGATTTAGTTAACACAAAATTGTAATTGGTTCTGACATCCTAATTTTTAGGTACATAATTTAATAAGGAAAAATTTAATAATCATATTTTAATGAATTTCTAAATTCTAAATATAGAAAAATAATTAAATGACTATTTTGTCTAGTATAAAATGTATTTTCAAAGGCTAGAAAAGGCGAAAGTCATTTCGCTAAGNTATATATATATATATATATATATATATATATATATATATATATATATATATATATATATATATATATTTACCTTAGTCTTTTTGCGAGTTTATTTTTTAAATTTTTAACACTTCTAGATCAAAATCCTGTCTCTGCTACTACCTCAATCATGTCCCCGCCCCTCCTTGTTTGTTCACTTCTAATTTGCCATAAGTAAAATGAGTTCCCATTTTGCTTCTATGTTAATAATCACAGACCACTTGTTTACCTTTTTCTCTCAACTTAGAAGGGCAATGGACCTAAATTTCCCTTTAGTAATAGACATCAATCAATAGTAATACTGAAGAATAATACGTTTACACACGTATAACAAGCAAGATGACAGAGGTCAAGAATAAAAGAGAAATATCCAAGTGAAACTACACTGACAAACTACACTAATTCAAGATTTAGAGAAACTAATTAATGTAAACTACACTGATTGGGTAAAAAAAAATCTTTGCACAGAATGTATGTAATTATATAAATTCTGTTCATTATATATTGCTACACTTCTGCTTAGAAGTGATTGTATTGCCAAAATAACATGACGTTTTATACACCAATTGGATCTATATGACATCCATCAATAAATTATAAAGAATGGAAATGGACATAATGATGAGTATATGGATCCCTACTGTTACGAATTTTCCTTCAAATGCAGGTGGTGCAAAATCAATATTTCATGGAGGAACTAGCTTTTACTTGAGAGAGAATATCGCGATGTAATTCTCCGCCAACTGGAAATTGTGGAGCTGATACACCTTATATATTGAATCCGCAAGTCCAATATTATGCTTGAGATGGCATTGGTGATGTTGGCGGCTTGAAATCAGGATACTGCAACCACAAAGAAAGAATATAACTTATATACACTGATAATGTAAAGAAATTTTATACTCCGAGTGTATTACATAACCTGCCTCATTTTCCAGGTGACTAGTTACACCTTTTATGGACGGGTACCTGTTGTTATCTATTGGGTGACCAGTGTATAGATGTTAATATGAAAGAGATGACCAAACAACACGAGATGTCCCAGAGACAAAGTAAAACGTTATTTAGTCCACTCAGCAATACCACAGTTATAGAATTCAAATGAGGACCATCCACGTTTCATCAGCGGCAAAGATGTTAGAATCTCGGATATGGTGCGAGGAAATTCATGTATCAAGTTATTAATGAAATGATGAAACCGGCCAACTATTGAGAATGAACAGGAAAAACTTACGTTTGGATATGGAGAGAGTGATTTTGAACTTCCAGTTAGTGCCTCTGCTTTGACTTCTAGTGTAGGGACCGAATTGATTTCTGGAGACTCAGCCGATAATTCTACCTTGGAAACTGTTTCAGTTTTCTCCACACTGCCACTAGGTTGTGAAGGCATTGGCGATGTTGGAGGCTTGAGATCAGGATACTGCATCAACAAATTCAAAAGAGATGTTGCAGTTACTGAAGAATATGAGAGGACATTTTATTGATCCGTTTTCCAATTCATAGTAGAGAGCCTCTTTAGTTCAGAACCAGCCAACCAGAAGAATATGGACAAAAGTAAAGAGTAATTCTGTGAGAGTAAAGCAAGTAGAGAGAATGTAAGGAGTTTTCTTGATGAAGATCTGTAGATGTTGCTTGGAAGGCTTAGATCCCTTTTACACTTTTTATGGACGGGTACCTGTTGTTATCTATTAGGTGACTAGTGTGTAGATGTTGCTATAAAAGAGATGCCGAAACCTAAGTTGCTCGGACTCTTCACTTTCGGTGCTGCATCAGTGTCGACATTGACGCGGGTGTGTGTGTGTGGGTGCGGGATCCTTATCGAATATGGTCAACCAATTTTGGATACTTTTATCAAAATCGACAGAGAATTATGCGACAGATATAATAATTTTTGAAATCAGAACAAAAGTTAGGGTGGAATTTTAGAAAATGAAATACCTTGTACATAGAAATTTCTATGTCAGTCCTTTCCTTTTATCTCCTTCTCGGATTCTCCTCTTGATCATTGCTTTTTCCTTCAAAATACCTTGTAACTTTTTCACATAATTTAAATTATTTTTAGCCGAATCCCCGCACCCGTATGCGTACTTGGATCCATACCCCAGAATGTTAGGATTTGGATCATGAAGGCTCCAGCCTCTAGATCCTCACCCGTATCAAACATACGCACCCGAGTTCGGGCAACTTAGGACAAAACAACGAGGGATGTCCCAGAGACGAAATCACATGTTATTGAATTAGTTCACTCAGCAAAACCAGAATTTAGGCGGGGATCATCCTCATTTCATCAGCGATAGATGTTAGATTCTTGGATATGATGCGAGAAAATTCATGTATCAAGTTATAATGAAATGAAGAAACTGGCCAACTATTGAGAATGAAAAGGAAAAACTTACATTGGGATATGGAGAAAGTGACTTTGAACTTCCAGTTAGTGCCTCTGCTTTGACTTCCAGTTTAGGGACTTCATTGATTTCCGGAGTAGACTCGGCAGATAATTCTACCTTGGAAACTGTTTCAGTTTTCTCCACACTGCCACTAGGTTGTGAAGGCATCGGCGATGTTGGAGGCTTGAGATCGGGATACTGCAAGATGATGCAGTTAATGAAAAATATGAGAAAACAAAGGGAAGTAACTTAGACAAAATAAATGAATTACTATTGTCCACTCGGCAATACCTCAATATCGGCGAGGGAATTAGCAAGAAAGATATTAAAATCAGCAAGGGAATTCATGTAGCAAATCAAAGTGAAATGATAAGACCAACTACTCAGAATGAAAAGGAAAACTTACACTAGGATATGGCGAAAGTGGCTTTGAAATTTCAGTTAGAGCTTCTACTTTGACTTCTGGTTTAGGGACTGAATTGATTTCAGGAGTTGTTTCTGCAGGTGCAGGTAGAGACTTGCTAGTTACGGGCGTCGGAAGAAGAGCCATCCCTATTTGCTGAAGTTTCAAAGTCAGAAGCATAAGTACATGACTAATGGAACTGTGACCACGAACTATCTTGTTGAAAACAAAACATACCGTTCTCCGATATGGGAAGTAAAATGCTTCAAGAAGTTCTGAACATATGAGAAGATTACCTTAATATCACCTACAAGCTCCTTTGGAGCAATGTTGGTGGTGACGAACTCATCAACTTGTTGCAGAGTTTGCTTTCTGACCTGGAAAATGAAAATGTCAAAATATTAATGGACCTCTCATGTTCGAAAATTTTCTACCGTTAAGTAACCTGTGGAAACCATAGAGGCTTTCTCATCTTACTAACAGTATATAAAATGGGATTCAACTTCTATCATAGGACAACGTTTGTAGACGAAAAATTAAGTAAATTAAATGATATTTCCTTAACAAGTTATCTTTTGAGGCTTCGGAATACTTAACTTCAGATTTCAAGATCTTACTAAAGTTGTTGGATATATATATATGTAATATGTCGCTGAAAACAGTGGCGCCACAAGAGTTTTCCTAAGGGTGTTCGAGAATTAGTATGCATAAAAGGTAATATGTTTTCAATATACGTAGTATAGTTTTCCAACAAAGAATGTTTAGCTGAGCAAGAGAAGCAATAATTCAACAGGTAAAAGAAACAAACAATTCAAGAAGGAAGAGCGCAGTTAAGGCAAGAGTAAGTTCATATTGCCAAAAATGCGTTTCTGAGGTCCACGACTCCACGTACTGGAGAGAGAAGAAAAGATTTCATAGCAAATGATGCTGACAAACCTCTGCAAATAGAAGTTTCGTGCTGACCAGTTGGATAAGTGCAGCTGAGCCTAACAGTTGAAGTATCGTTTCTACCTGAAAAAGGAGTACCGATAATAAGCTGTCTAATGAATGCTCAACATAAAGTTCAGGATAAAATATTCTGGAGCCTGACCTCTGCGAACGCCAAAAATCCTAGCCCGGCAGCTGCAGCTACACCTAAACCTACTGCAACAGCATCAGAACCGTCCTGCATATCCACATTCCACCAAAGTTATCTCATTTAAGTTAATCATGTCAAAATGCAAAACCGAAATAGTCTATGATTAGAATAGTAGTACTAGACCAGTATTCACCACATAGCCTAATGAAATTGATAAATGCAAGTTAAATAGTCTCCTAAATAGCTTCTTAAACGATACATGGTGGCTTCCAAACATAAAGCTTCTGAGAAATATCAAGGCTGGGAAACTATGTGAAATGTCACTTATAGTTATAGCTATCATATTTTAAAGATGTCACTTGTATCTGTCATCCGCAAACCATTCACCTAGGAACTGTTAATTAAGGATTGTGGAGTTAAACTGCAGAAGTTCTAAAAACAGAAATGTACAACTGCTCCTTGCACTTGAAACAGGAAAGCAGAACTTCTTAGCTGTCCATGTTTTAGCAAAGTACCATGTTTTAGCGAGAAAAACATACCCCGAGAACACCATCAAGAGCATCAGACAGATTGCCCAGATCAAGACTCGATGTTTTCTTCGGAAGTATCCAAGGAAGGCCGTTATTCTGCAAAAATTGGAATTAATTATGCTTCATTCTGCTTAATTTTTAAAATTCAGAAAGATATCAAGATTTTTGAATGTAAAACCTTCCATCCTCGCGGTCCTTCAGCACCATCTTTAATTGCATATGCAGCTTTAAAACCATTTGCTGTGACAAGCTCCGCAACCAATTCAGAGTTCCCATCAAATCTGGCTTCATTATAATCCAGAAAGTGACAGGATTAGAGTTAATATGTTCAACTAGTTTGCCATCAAGCAAGAAAAACATTTCATTTTGCCAGCAAATCTTTAACTTTTTCCATTAAAAAGAGTTAAACTCAAACATATATTCTGAATAGTTGATAAATACACTTTTAAGGCATATATCGTGAAGTTATAAAGAATTACTAGCAGAATGTGGGGTAAGATACAATTTTCAGAAGTTCAACGATCAGAGCTGTAATTAATTCGACTAAATCAATTCGGTCACAACGCAAACATGTTAGCAATAACAACAACAACAACAAACCTAGGGGCTAGTATACCCATTCCTTACCCAACCTCGAGAAGGTAGAGAGGTTGTTTCCGGTAGACCCTCGGCTAGTGCAAGCATGTTAGCACAATAATTAATTACTATTAAGGAATGTAAGCACATAACTGTCTGTCCAAATCAATTGCTAGGCTTCACCAAGATTCCAAAAAGATAAACAAAATATTGAAGCGTGTGACCATCTCATTTTAAAGCTTAAGCGGTTAGAGCGAGACATTTTTAATTACTTAATTATGTTTTCATAGGCTACCTCAAGTGCGGGCGGCCTGCAAGACTTACTCGTTTTCTTGGATTAAACATGTGATTTTTTTTTTTCTGATAAGGGGTTCTAGAGACTTGAACAAGGACCTCTTCGTTTCCTGTGATACCATGTTGAAATGTATGGCTACCTCATCTAAAAGCTTAAAGTACTAAAAAGATTATACTTTTAATTACAGTCAAACCTCTCTATAACAGCCTCATTTGTTCCAGATTTTTTTTGCTGTTATAACAAAGTGTTGTTATAGAGAACATATCTTATAACATAGCATAGAATTGGTTCCATAAAAAACTGATTTTTATAGTATGGTTATTATATAGCGATGCTGTCTTCTCTGTACTACTTAATTATGTCTTCAACACAGAACAACACAACTATAAACAATGGCAATAATTTTGAAATCTTACTTGTCAAGAATGAGCAATGTGGTATTCTCTGGCTCCTTGAACTTCAAAGCTAGCTTCTTTAAGAACCCTGGCTTATCTTCACCTTTATAAACAATTGAAACTGCCTTCTTCTTCAAACCCCTTATATCTGGACTCCCCACTTGCCTCAATTCCACAGGTCCCCTTATATCAAGTAATTCTGAACTCTCATCATCTCCTAATTTAGCATAAGCTTTTTTAGCAGACTCAACACCCCATTTCTTATTAGGCTTATTATTACTAAGCACCTGAGACAGAACTAATGGCAAAGCCAAAATAGCAAAACCACCAGCTATAACTAAAGGATTTTCAGATACAAAATTTGTTACAGTTTCAACAAAGGCATTTGCATCAAAATCAGGTGTTGAAGTACTAGTAGTTGATTGCTGAAGTGCCTCTTCATATGTTAATGCATTAGCTAAACTTGTAGTGAAAACTGAGGAAAGTACTACTATACCCCCATGAACTTTTCTTGATAGACCATCTAGTGAATTTGATGAATTGGTGCTAAAATTGGCTGAATTTGAAAGGTTCTTAAATGGGATTTTTTTGGGTTCATTTCTTCTATCAGAAAAAACTGAAAGAGGTGTCAAACTTGCTGCATTGAGAGCCTCCATAGCAAAATTCTGTATCACTAGTTACAGCCAAATTTCTATGCAATATTTTAGCTAAATCTTGATATCCTAGGAAATGTTGTAGATATGTGGAAGGGAGAAGAGTATAGTGCCACTAGTTGGTGGCAATGTCATATATGGATCATGGGGCTGGTGATTACGTGGGCCAATTATTATGCTTTTCCAGTTTAATTTTGGGTGGCCAAGAATTGTCAAAGGAAATCTTTTATGAAACTTAACATTTTTCAGTTGTACTTCATTTTATTCTATTGCAGTACATTATGCTTCCAACTAAGCAATGCTAGAACCCAAAACTCTTCCTTCAATCTTCATTCTTTCGGTTTTTTGTTACTATAGAAAATTTTCTTTTTAGTAAGCAAAACTACTTCAGAAAATGACCCTTTTGTCTTTGGTAGATGAATGGTGTTAAATATCAAATTCCTTGGTAAATATTGGTGTGTTTGGTACGAGCAAAATATATTCTGGGATATGTTTTTTAGAAAATAAGTTACTTTGTCTATAAAAATATTTCGAAAGAAAATACTATTCACCAAAGAGAGAAAAAATGACTTATTTTTTCTTTTAGGAGAAGTCATTTTCTTTTTGAGTTATCTAAATTCTTAATTTAATATTAAAGTTCTTACCAACACTTAGACAATATCATCAATATTCAATACTTAAAGCTTTCATCTAAAATATTATTCGATTTGCTAACATTGTACTCAATTTTTAACAAATAGTTTTATTTTTCTAAAATACTTGTAACTCTTCGGCCAATCATAAAAAAAAAAAATACTTTTTAAATTATAAGTATCTTCAGAAAATATTTTTAGAAACTGTCTTACCAAGTTGGCTAGGGGAGAGTTTGCGTTATTTATTAACCAGAATCTGTTGAGTTATATGTTTTGATGATTAACAAGTGTGTAATGAACATGTGCTAAGAACTAGGTTCTCATAGTAGCTGCTGAAGGTCCTCACAACACAGTAACTTTTTCTGCAAAAGTTATTGCAGTTTAATATTGGTGGAAAGGACTCTTAATGTGATAAGGGATGCCGCCTAAGGAAATTTGCAGTTAGGAATCACGAAGCTTGAGGAGTCCTCATGATCTTAGGAATTGTAAGTGAACGAGAGTTCAACTGTGCTTCGGACTCCCAAAGATCTCGGAACTGTGAGGATTTAAATACCTTGCCTATGGACTGTTGAAGACCAACTTTTTCACATACATACCGAGGAAAAAGCGCACAACACTCCGGTTCAAAAGGCACGTACATTTCCGGTTCAAAACGCACGTGAAGTTGCTGACCAAAATTATCCGGAAAGTTAATTTCTTTATATTTGAGTTAGTCTAATTCATGTGTATTAGGGAATTGAGTTTTATTCATGTTACATTCAAACAATATTAGTTAGGTTATTGTCTAAGTTCGCAAGTTAAAGTAACTTGTAATCCTCATACAATAAGTAGAAGTAGTTGAAGTGTAGAGGTGAATTAGGTTACAAGAGTTGTAATTTGTACATTTGGCTCATTTATTCTAGTGAAGATGAAGTTAAAATTCTACGTGGTAGGTGGTGGTTTTTGAACCTTTGAGAGGGGTGGCTTTTCACGTAAAATTAATGTCTTTTACTTTTCTGTTGATTTTATTCAAGCGTAAGGAGTAAGGTAAAGAACCAAGTTCTTTAGTAATTTAGGAGGACACTCTAAATAACAATTGGCATCAAAATGGATTCTCTTAAACATGGTTAAAATCTCGAGAGATCTTGGAAGAAATGAGTGCTCAACCTGGAATTAACGTAGGACAACAACTACTAGACCACCCCTATTTAATGAAAAATATTACAATTGGTGGAAGACAAGAATGGAGTATTTCCTAACGGCTGAGGACTATGAACTTTGGACAGTAGTAAAACGAGGGCCATTGACTCCCACCAAGAAAAATGGATAAAATAAAACTGTTCCCAAGGACTCCTCAGAATTTGTGGCAGTTGACTTCAGAATGATGGAAAAGAATGCCAAAGCCAAGAAAATTCTCATTTGTGGACTTGGTCTTGACGAATACAATAGGATATCTGCCTGCTCCAATGAGAAGGAAAGTTGAGACGCACTTCAAACTACCCATGAAGGAATAAATGAAGTGAAGAGATCAAGAATTAAGTAGCTAGTGAGAAACTATGAGCTCTTCTCTATGAAGGAGTCTGGGCGTATTCAGGAGATGATGACCAGGTTTTGTATCATAATGAATGCACTAAAGTCATTGGGAAATTTGTTCACTTATGAAGAATTGATTAGCAAAGTCCTAAGGACTCTTCTTGCCTCACGGGAACCAAAGGTCACAGCCATTTAAGAAGCAAAGGAGTTGGACAAAATATCACTAGACGAGTTGATTGGGAATTTGAATTATGAGAAAGCTGGAACAATGCAAGGAAGAACCAAAAAGGGATAAGGAACTGGTCCTCAAGGCTACAAATGAAGATGAGTCTGTTACGACCCAAATCTCCCTCTGTAAGATATCGTGACTAACAGTTGCGGAATAACTGAAATAATAATAGAAATAACGGCTAAACCTTAACAACAACAGGTATATATATAGATAAAACTGGAAAACTGCCGCTGGAAATGTACAAGTAAAACCAACAACTCCGAGTATAAACAACTCCCAAAGACCCGGTAGTCACAAGTCATAAGATCTAAGGAATTTTTCTAACTGTCTCTATACATCAACATCTAGGGAAAATAAGAAAGAACGACATAAAACGATAGAGGGGGACTCCGAGGTCTGCAGACGCTGGAAGATAAACCTTGAAGTCTCCGTAGCAGCAACACGAACTCTCTACTAATAGTGGGGCTGGTAAGAGGTACCTGGATCTGCACACAAAACATGTGCAAAAGAGTAAGATGAGTATATCACAACGGTAGCCAGTAAGTGCCAAGCCTAACCTCGGTAGGGTAGTGACGAGGTCAGGTTAGGGCCCTACTGGAATAATATATTTAAGGCAAAAGATATAGTAATATAATGAAAATACTAAGAATATAACAATGAGAATTTACAGAAAGGTAACAACACACCAAATAGGAATAAACAACAGGGGCGCTCCCGAGGTACCGCCTAGTAGTACCAAAGGTAAATACTCAACAATGGATCTCCCGAGGTACCGCCAGTAGTCCCAAAAGTAAATATGCAATGGGGGAGCTCCCGAGGTACCACCTCGTAGTCCCAAAAGTAAATATACGACAGAGGATCTCCCGAGGTACCGCCTCATATTCCCAAAAGTAAATATGCAACGGGGGTGCTCCCGAGGTACCGCCTCGTAGTCCCAAAAGTAAATATGCAACGGGGGAGCTCCCGAGGTACCGCCTCGTAGTCCCAAAAGTAAATATGCGACAAGGGATCTCCCGAGGTACTGCCTCGTAGTCCCAAAAGTAAATATGCAACGGGGAAGCTTCCGAGGTACTGCCTCGTAGTCCCAAAAGTAAATACACAACTCATAACTTAAGGAACAACGAATTTACAGCAAGAGATCCTATAGTTAAAGACTGAATGCAATTCAAGGAAAAATAGGTAATCCAATTAAGCATGTTTCACATATTGCAAGTAAGAGTTTAAGCAAGTAGACATGCGATATTAGACTAACATGATGACTACACAGGCTAGGATAACTCAGTTAAGTAATTAAAGAAGACTACTCACCAAGAACTGGCTTTTTCAATATTTAGCCTGTGTACGCACTTGTCACCTCCCGTACACGACGCTCACATATCACAAATTGTTAAAACAGTACCAAATCCTAAGAGAATTTCCCCCACACAAGGTTAGGCAAGTCACATACCTCAAGCCGAGCTTAATAAGTCAATAAGAATGCCTTTTCCTCGACTTTCTGACTCCGAATGGCCCAAATATGCCAAAAGTAGTTACATACTATAAATATAACTATAAGAAACTAATCCAATTAATGAAATCAAGACTTTAACAAGAAATTAGAAAATCGCCACAAAAAGTCGACCCGGGCCCACGTCTCGAAATGGGGCAAAAGTCACAAAATATGAACACCCATTCAACCACGAGTTCACCCATACCAAAATTACTCAAATCCTCAATCAAAACCTCAATCAAAACCCTAAAATTCGATTTAAGAACCTTTCAACTTTTTTCCCAACTTTCTCAACCCAAATCCTTAATTAAATGATGAAATAAATGATGGATTAGTGGATATTAACCAAAAAATGAGTGTAGAATCCTTACCCAAATATTTCCTCTGAAAATCCTTCAAAATCTCTCCTCAATCCGAGCTCTCTATCTCAAATGATGAAGAAAATGGTAAACCCTCGATTTTGAAATGTTTACATCTGCCCAGGTGTTATGCATCGCGATCGTGGGACCCTCATCGCGATTGCGAAGAACTATATGTCACAGCCACAAAAATGGCCTACGCGAAGCTTCACCTTCCTAGCACTTCGCGAACGCGTGCTTCACTACGCAATCGCATAGGCTAAAATCCTGGTGACCCAAAGAACTTGCTCCTCTACGCGAACGTTAGGACCCTATTGCGAATGCGTAGACTTAACACTTCAGTGCTTCGCGAATGCAGGACCTGCATCGCGAACGCGAAGGCAAAAATCCCAGTAATCTCCAACTCCTCTATGCGAACGCGGGAAAACCTTCACGAACGCGTAGAAGGAAACCAGATGCACCAGATAACTGAACTTCAGCCATCTTCAAAAATAATTCCCAATCCGTTATCCATCTGAAATCTACCCGAGGCCCCCGGGACCTCAACCAAACATACCAACAAGTCCTAAAACATCATACGAACTTAGCTGAGCCTTAAAATCACATAAAACAACGTTAAAAACACGAATCGCACCCCAATTCAAGCTTAATGAACTTTAAAACTTCAAACTTCTACAACCGATGCCGAAACCTATCAATTCACGACCGATTGACCCCAAATTTTGCACACAAGTCATAATTGACATTACGGACCTACTCCAACTTTCGGAATCAGAATCCGACCCCGATATCACAAAGTCCACTCCCGATCAAATTTCCCAAAAATTCAATTGCCATTTCAAGCCTAATTCAACTACGGACCTCCAAATCACAATCCGGACACTCATCGAAGTCCAAAATCACCCAACGG